CTTGAGTCTGTCTGCACCCTCCTGACCCTCAGCAGGCTTCTGTAGTAACCCTGTACACTTCACAGAGACCTCGAGGTCTGAAGAGCAGTGTGGTCACCATCTTACCAGACTTAATGTTTTGTAGTTTGGGGGACTGAGCTCAAAGCCTTGTACAACAAGGCAAACACTTTGTCACCAAACTTTACCCCCAACTCTCTGCTGGACCTTGAACAACCTTGAGTGCCAGATCTGCATCTTTTCTTATTAACTGGTAGAGACACAGAGGCTGAAGTGCTGTTGCATGCAAAAGTGATTAAGGGATCCAGTTAATTCAGCTCCATGCGGCTTCTGACATTCTCTGACTTCCAAATGCAGTTTTAATGTAGAGCCAGTGAGCCCACTTAAAGCATGCAGTGATAACATGGTGGTCTTCTGCCCTTCCCCAGGTTGAAGCTGGGATTTGCCCCTTGTAAGCAGGAAGATGATGAGTGACGCTAGCGACATGTTGGCCGCGGCGCTGGAGCAGATGGACGGGATCATAGCAGGTACCCATGCCGCACAGCCTGAGCGCCGTGCTTCCTGTCCTGCGTCCGCTCTGCCCTTATTTTAGCTTTCTGGCTCTCTCCAATGCTCGTAGGACCCCAGTTTTCACCTTTGTTCTGCTTCTCCAATTCTACCAGTTATTCTGATATTACGCTGCAAAGTGTCAGAAGTGTCACTTCCTTCTGCAGACTTCTCATGTTGCTGCAGATCTGAGTCCCGGGTGTCAGATGGGGGTGGCCCATGGACCACGCTAAGGGAATGTCCTCCCCTGTTTCTGTGAATGGCCTGTTCCTAGAAGTCAGCATTCTGGCCACAGGTGGCTTGGTTCCCCACTAAGCCTCAGGTTTCTACCTCTGCCAACCAGATCTCTCCTGTGAAATGCCCAGTAGGCACATCAAGGTCTTACTATGCTAAGGCTATAAACAAGGTGGCAGAGGAAATGCTTATACACGTATGCTCACATACACACAGTTATTTGTACTCTCACACATAGTTACACATATGCTTACATACACAGTCATACATATACATAGGTATACATATGCTCACATACACAGTCATACATACATACACATAGGTATACATATGCTCACATACACAGTCATACATATGCTCACACACACATAGTTACACATATATTCACATATACATAGTTGCACATATGCTCACATACACATAGTTGCACATATACTCACATACACATAGTTACATATATATTCACATATATTGTTGCATGTATGCGCACATACACATAGTTATATATATACTCACATACGCATAGTTGCACATAAGCTCAGATACACAGTTACACATATATTCACATATACATAGTTGCGTGTATACACACATACTCTTAGGTACACATATCCTCACACATAGTCATACATGCTGCTCATTGCACAGCACCACCTAAGTACGTAACTCATTTCATGGAATTCAAAGACCTCATGCTCTCTAAAATTTCATGTTTTCTGGGAGGCATGGCTCCACCTGACCTGTCGTCCCATTAGTTATGGTCGCTTTGAGCCTACCATGATCCTTTTCCATCCATCACAGCTGGCCTTTTTGTTAGGCATCAAACCATTCATATTTACCGTCAATGACATTTTAAATTTTCAACTATGTTAAGATTTAGAGAGATAGATCTACATTATTGGATGATTTGGTCTGCCTTTTCCCTGTTCTTTGTGATCATTGCTGGTGGCTAGGCTGAAGTGTGGTGTTTAACCTAACAAAAGTCCTATTGCTCTCTGATTTTCTCGGAAACCAGGTTCTAAAGCCTTGGAATATTCCAATGGGATTTTTGATTGCCAATCTCCCACCTCCCCGTTTATGGGGAGCTTGCGAGCTCTGCACCTCGTGGAAGACCTGCGTGGATTGTTGGAGATGATGGAGACAGATGAGAAGGAAGGATTGAGATGCCAGATCCCAGACTCAACAGCAGAAATGCTTATCGAGTGGCTTCAGAATCAAATGGTAGGCGTCCGTACGCTCCTTCTCTGTGCTGTCAGTCTTCTGTATGTGCCTTCTGTGTGCTGTCAGTCTTCTGTATGTGCCTTCTGTGTGCTGTCAGTCTTCTGTATGTGCCTTCTGTGTGCTCTCAGTCTTCTGTATGTGCCTTCTGTGTGCTCTCAGTCTTCTGTATGTGCCTTCTGTGTGCTCTGTCTTCTCTACGTGCCTTCTGTGTGCTGTCAGTCTTCTGTATGTGCCTTCTGTGTGCTGTCAGTCTTCTGTATGTGCCTTCTGTGTGCTCTCAGTCTTCTGTATGTGCCTTCTGTGTGCTCTCAGTCTTCTGTACGATCCTTCTCTATCCTGTCAGTCTTCTGTATGTGCCTTCTCTTTGTTGTCAATCTTTTGTTGTTTATTATAAAACTGAGAGCATAGACCAGCAGATCAGCAGAAGAGAAAAACATTTACACGGTAGAACATGAGACCCCCAGTTCCTCTCAGCTGTACAGAAAACTTGGAATTTTTCTTTATTTTATTTTATATGGGTGGATATCTTATCTTGCCTGCACATATGTCTGTATACCAAGCATATGTAGTGCCTATAAGGCCAGAAGAAGGTGTCAGGTTGTGTGTGCGTGTGTGTGTCTGTCTGTCTGTCTCACAACAGACAGTTGTGAGCCACCATGTGGGTGCTGGGAATTGAGTCATGCTCTGAAAGAACAGACAGTGTAGTCCCTAACCTCTCCATCTCTTCTGAGGATAGCTTTGAAAAGACTGTATTATATGCGTGCCAACAAGTTGCCCAATTCCACCTATAAAAATGGACTGACTTCTAGGCCTTACAACGACCTGGTATGGTCCTGTGAGGAAAAGAGTCTTGTCCATAACAGTAACAGTGGGGTGGGGCCCTGTGAAGGACTTAATAGGTATTCTAAACAGGAAGTACAGTGGGTGGATGCTTCAGAAAGCAGAAATTTGTGGCTGTGACTGAGAAGCGCCATCTAGTGGTGTGTGGCAGTCACGTCGCTTTCACTTCTGTTAGCTCCTTCAGTTTCTAGACATCCTTCTCCACCCACACTGGTGATATAGAGACTGTAGACATCACATCTGGTACGTGTTGAACACAGAGTCTAAAGAGCATCACCAAAGCAGATGAGAAGATAAGGAGGGTGACATAACAGTTAAGATGCGTGTGAATGCTTATGACCTTGTTGCGCTTACATAAAATCTAATGAAGGATTGAGGCCTGTTTTCAGACTTAATATGGAGGGATAGCTGCCTGCCTGCTCTGAGGGCCTGGATGCCCACCCTATTGCCAAAGCATTTCCTGGGGTGGTGCACAAATTCTGGAGCCCCAGCCAGTCCAGATCTGAGCCTGGTGTTCCTGGTTTCATCCAGTTAGTACCAGTCAGCCATCTTTCAGTGGTATTGCAGCTAGCTGCACAGAGTAGAATAGTTAGACATAGTCACTTTCAGAAACAGATGATGCCTGCTCATGAGACTTGATGCTTGCCCTGGGAGGGTCCTCTAGGGATTTAAGAGTCCAGGTTTGCTAGTTTCTTTGGGAGTAGCTTTGTGCTGTGAAACTCACTGTACCCTAGCACATTCCTCAGCCTAGTCCTACTTCCTATGTCTTTACTCTGGCATTCAGCACACAGTGAGAAAGGAATTTATTGCTTGGCTCAAGAGGACCTGTAGATAATTGACTTGTGCCTTTGGTTGAGTGTTTGTTTCTGAGGGCTAGAGGGGTGGGGTGCAGGAGGGGAGTCTGCAATTGTATTGTTAAGACCTGAGCTCAGTCTTAACAAACACCACTTGCTGAGGGCAGTGAAGGTGCCCTATCATGGCCACTCTGCGATGGCTGTCCCACACTTGAGAACTCTGCTGACTGGTAATATGATTGTGGACACTGCTCCCAAGGTTTTCCCAGAAGCCCCAGGATGCTTGCTTTAATGTCAGCTGGGGTATCTCAGTGTGCTGCTGTGTGACACGGGTGACTAAGATCACTTACAGGACACAGGCCTAAGATGCACCTTGTTTTCAAAGGCCTGAGAAAACATCATGAAAAGAGGGCCTTGCAGAAAGCAGCAGAGATGCACTGTGAGAGGCTGGAGGACACTCCAGCTGAGCAGATGCAACTCTGTGATTCTGAGACCAGCCAGAGGCCCAGAGAGAGCACATTCCACATCTGGACCCTGAAGTATGCACACTCACACATTTTTACAGTTTAAAAACATGTGCACTTGGGATTGGAATGTTTTCGTTTTTGAAATGTAAGCAATAAAGACTGGCTGGTGTGGTGATCATTTAGCAGGTCAGAGACTGGCTACTAATGCCTGATTTCTACGTTCCACCTCACATGTTAGACTCCTTGATTTGCAGACATTGAACTTAGCATCACTCATTTCATGAAGATGGCATTTTTGTAACCTCTACTGATTGTGAGATGACTCACGACATTGGCAAACGTGAGGCTCCCCTGTCAGTCTGCCTCTTGACCTCTGCTGCTGCAGTTCTGGGTCTCGATCCTCAGGCTCTGGGATTAGAAAAATCATTGTGAGAATATTCCAGGGCAAGTTAGATATGGTAGTTTGAATATGCTTGGCCCAGGGAGTGGCATTATTAGGAGGTGTCGCCTTTTTGGAGGAAGGGTGTCCCTGTGGAGGTGGGCTTTGAGACCTTCCTCCTAGCCACGTAGGAATCTTCTCCTGACTTCCTTTGGATGAAGATGTAGACCTCTGAGCTCCTCCAGAGCCATGCTTGCCTGGACATTGCTGTGCTTCCTCCCTGGATGATAATGGACTAAACGTCATAACCTGTAGTAAGCCAGTCTCAGTTAAATGCTGTCCTGTGTAAGAGTTCTTGGTCATCGTGTCTCTTCATAGCAGTGGAAACCCTAAGATATCAGGCATAGGCAGAAGCCATGTGTTTGGCTCAGACATATTCTTTTATTTGCCAACTTAAATCTATGGCTTGATAGACACACAGTCCTCCATTAGTGATATCTGTGTAACATACTGAACCTTTTCGACGTTACAATGGAATTCTATTCTGCCTCAATAACAGAGTGGGTTTCCTACTGGGCAGATTTTTCCCAATCACAGGAGACTACGTGCTGAGTCATAAATGTACACTTTTTAAGAAGCGTACAGTTATAGAAATACTGTTAAGACAGATTCATGCTTACACAGTGTCCCTTCACTGGGATACGCTATTAGCCATCTGTTTTCTTTTTTTCCTGGCTACCTTTGTTTGTTTTTTTTGCGACCTGGTCTCTCCGGGTACCCTAGGCAGGCCTCAAATTCTTATTCTGCCTCCTGAGAACTGGCATTACGGGCAGCTGCCCAGCTGCCAATTACATGAAATAATTAAGGAGGTGCTGCAATTAGTAAAGGAGTAGCCTGCATCCTTTGGGAAACCAGGGGTGCCCCCAGACCTGGCAAGAATGATAATTAACAGTGCAAATGCCCACTGCACTAATTAGTGTCTCTTAAAGGACACAGACTCTCAAGCTGGCCACCAGTGACCTTTCGTGAATCAAGACTTTAACTGCTTGACTGGAGTCATTAACAAATGACTGTAAAGTATCACAGGAACATCTTTGCAGCCTCAGAAGCATCTGTTCTCTCCTCACCAGCAGTGAACAGCTAGGATGACCATCCTGGCTCTTGATGATCATCCTGGTGGGGCCAGGGTCATTTCCCTCTATGGAAAAGCATCCTGTTAGATTCTCGATCTATAAAACCTGCTGTTGCCTGCCAGGTTCAGAGAGGAGTGCCCAGCATGTGTTAGCATGGGATCCTCCAGTTGTGTAAGGCAGAAAGCCTCATCCATCCCTTACTGAGGAGGAAAAGGAGACACAGAGCTAAGGAGAGCCTTGTATGGGGTACAGCCCACATTAGAACCCAGGTTTGCTCCTTTGTGTCTAGCTGTCACCCCATCTTCCTCTTTGCCATTCACAGCCTTCTTCCCATGATTACCAGCCTCCTTTACTTGATACTGTGACCTCTTCTCCACTTGCAGTGGGGGGGGGGGGTGGGAGTTGCTAGGGCTCCGGGTGTCTCACTTCCTTTTCTTGATGTTACGAAATACCTGGCAATAGCAACTTAAAGATGGAAGGCTTTATTTTGGCTCAGGATTTAAGAAGGAACCAGTCCACCATGGTGTGAAACACATGGCCAGGGGAGTGTAAGGTGGCTGGTCACACTGTGTCAGCAGTTAGGAGCAGAGAGATGACAGGAAGTGGGGCTGGGCTGTAAGACTCAAGGCCCTCCTCCAGGCTCCCCCATCTTCCAGTGAGTTTCCATGCCCAAAACCTTCCACAGCCTCTGTGACAGTACAGCCCTCTGGGAGCCATGGGGGAGGGGCACTTCAAACTGATGCTAGCGCTCTGCTCTTTCAGATCTTTGGTGGCCTTAGCTTTTATCTCGCAGTTTGTTTTATTCTTACAGAGTCTACCACTTTAACTGTCTTGAAGTGCATAGCGCAGTAGTGCTAAGCACATCCACACTGGTGTGTGTGTTACCATCCTCTGCCTAGAGAGGCCTTTCCATCTTGGAGACCCTGAGTCTGTGCTATTACATAACATCCCTCCCCCTCCCCCTTTACTTAGCTTTTGGAACTCTGTTGTCATTCTGTGTCTATGAACTTAAAAGGTCTAGATACTCTGCTAATAAAGGGTGAAAAGGGAAGAATAAATCCCAGCAAAATTATGTATGTCTGCACATCCCCTTTTAGTGTATTGACATAACCATGACTTCTGAAGTACTAAGTGGAGAAGTGATGAAAATTAAGTATCAGATCCTCTTCCTGTTGGATTCTCAGTGCTGACCCAGGTGCACTGCGACACCCAGGTTCCCTTTTTCTAAAGGGAAGTGCACTGTCGACAGGTAGGGTCTGGCTCCTTCATGCTCCTGCCTCTGTTCCTCCCATACCCACCTCTGCTCTCATCTTTGGTTTTGCCACTATCGTTGTCACCACCACCACCACCATCATCTCCTCCAACTCTCTGTGTCTGAGAGAATACA